CTTCTGTATATAGAGAATTGAAAATGAACCTTGATGTGAATGGAAGGGGAGAGGGAGCGGAAAGGGGAGGGTTGCGGGTGGGAGGGAAGTTATGGGGGGGCATTGTAATCCATAAGCTGTACTTTGGAAATTTATATTCATTAAATAAAAGTTAAAAAAAAAAGAGGTGGGTGTGGCAGTGCAGTGGTGAAGCCTCCACTTGCAATGCCAGCATCCATATAGGAGTGCCAGTTCAAGTCCTGGCTCCTCAGCTTCTTAACCAGCTCTGGCTAATGCTCCCGGGAAGGTAGCAGTTGAAGGCTTAAGTACATGGACCCCTGCTGCCACCAAAAGCTTAGTCCCTGTCCCCTGTGCTGAATCAAAATAACTAGGACGAAGTTCAGAGGTAAAAGAAAAGTTTAGTCTATCGACAGATAATGAGTCTTGAGACTGCTGTCCTGCTGAGTGAGGGTGTTTGTAAGGAGGCTGCAAGGAAGGAGGAGTCAGGAAGAAGGGGAACAAAGGACAAGGACAACTGCACATTGGCCTCTGGCCAGGTGATAAGCAGCCTGTTGCAGTCATAGTGGTTATTTGATCTGGTTACATGTTCAGTGCATGTCTGAATTCTTGGTTGGTCTGCAATGCCATACTCTTCAGGGAATTTTTACAATAGCCAAGTAGGCTTTAGCATTTTCTGCCTTTGGCCTAGAATTCCCCTGCTTGGACTTGGAAGTCCCCTAAACAAAACCCCTCGTGGCAATACCAGTCACCAACATGTAATTAGCAAATGACCTCATGAGTCTGATGGTCAGAACCTTCAGGGCCAGTTATACCACTTCCTCAATTCAGTCTGTTAATTCTAGTGCTATCAAAATGCAGGACACAGGCACTTTAAGCTAAGGGGAGAGGGTCTCCTGACTGCACCTGGTGGTATTTACCATCTGCATTCAAGGCATTGTTTGGGGGCTCAGTTTTGCGGCCACCCATGTAGGACTCAGATGGAGTTCCTGGATCTCAGCTTCTGCCTGGCCCAGCCTTGGCTGTTGGCGGGCATTTGAGGAGTGACCCAGGTGGAAGATCTCTTCGTCTCTCTATGTGTCCATCTTTCTGTGTCACTCTTGTTATCAAAAGCTTAGTCCCATTGCCAAACCAAAATAACTAGGACCAAGGTTTTGGAGTAAAGGAAAGAGAAAACTTAATCTGTTGACGGATGAGGGGGTAGTGGATATGAAAGTCTCAAGAACTACTTCTCTGTTGAATGAATGTGTTTGGGGTTTTCTAAGGAGGCTACATGAAGGGGGGCCTGGTCTGGCAAAGTTGTGAAGGAGCCATGAGCCTCTGTGTAGGGCTAGCAGCTGGGGCTTATATGTTCTTTCTCTCTTTCATCACAGTGGCAGCCATTTGGGGGGTGAACCAATGGAAGGAAGACCTTTCTCTCTGTCTCTCTCACTGTCTAACTCTGCCTGTCAAAGAATAACTAAATAAATAAATACAACTTAGAAAAGTAAACATGATAGCCCTAGTCTGCATGCAATTAAACAGATCATAACTTAGAACTACACTCTTTTTCACCTACTTCCCCTGGGCACTCATATCACACAGACCCTACTTGACCTGCATCGTGCACATGGAACCCCCCCTTACCTTGCATAAGTACCTTGCATAAATTTTATACAGTATTTCCATCAGAAAATGACCAATTTCTTTAGTGCTGATATTTTGTCTGCTTAGTATTCCTGCCCTTCATCTGGGAGCAGCATCTATCTTTCTAGGAACTGGTCTTCTACTCTCAGCTCCCAGTTCTCTAGGACCTATCAGTAGGGTTGGCCAAACCAACTATGGTCCTTTCTTGGAATCCTTATTCTAAAACCGGAAGGAGGAAGAAAGAGTCTGCCTCCTTCTGGTAGCAGGAGTTATGACCTGTGACCCTGAGAAACTGCTGGAGGCCACCTTTTTCTTGGTGGGAAGAAAGCCAGGCCACCGTGAGGAGGAAGCCCACACTCAGATGAGTGCTGGAAAGAATCTTGGACGCACTTGAGTCACTGTTTCCAGTGGTTGCCCTGTCCAGCTGTATCAATGTCCTGTCCATACTTTTCTTATTTTTCTAAGAAAAAATGTTATTAACCATTATATTTTGAAAATATTTTGAAATACAGTGATGAAATTTTTTTGCATTTCTTCCTTGGTAGCCTTTCTTCTATACCTCCAGAATCAACCGTGCCTTTCTCAGGTTTGTACAAAGAGAAAAGTCCATGTTGAGGTTTTTATTTTTAAAAGAAGCTCCTGAAGCTCCCAGGGCTGACTAATGTAAAAGGCACATTCCTTTATTTAGAAATGGAGAAAACCTTTACCTAAATTCTGCTTGCCAGACTGCAAAGTCTGAGAGTACCAGCTGCAATTAGGACCCTAATGATAACATCAGGAGTCAGTTCTCTCAGTTTCTCGTGGGAGTGAGAAGGCAGATACTAGCCCTTCCCTTTGGTCGCATCTCAGGAGCTTGTCTGCTTTTCCAACAGGCCAAATAGCGTAACCTGCACTTCATCTCAGAGGAATCGGGATGACCAGGACTGCCATTGCCATCCCAGAACCAGTCACTGCTCCCTCCCTGTAGTCAGCGTCAGCGTCAGCGTCAGCGTCAGCAAAATGCTGTCAATCAAAGGTGGGATGATGTTGTGGTGCGACTTCTCCAAGGGAATTGGATAAGATTACCAGGAAGAGTTTAAAAGTGTATGGGATGGCAGGACTGCCACCTGCGCGCCACAATGGGCCCTGTGAAAATAACAGTAGAGTCACTAGTTATGGAGCCCTGTAATCCATGCTGCATTGGGAATTACTGCAGAAAACTGGCTACAAGGTCCAATGGGATATGCTGCTGGTCTGTAACTTTCCTGGGGCTCGCTGGCCGCAGATAAAATCATCCTGGCCCAGGGAGTCTTCCTTTGCCCTGTGGCAAGTCTCCCTGGAATTTCTATAGAGCTGTAATTATATATGGATTCGGATAACGGTGGGCAGTTACACACTTCGAGTAAACAAGAAGGTCCAAGGAGGAAACATGAATGTGTGAAGACATTCACCTGGGCTCCACTTGGGAGTACAGGGGCAGGTGCAAAGATCTTTGTTTTTGAAGGCATGGGACCTCAGTGGTAATAACAGTTAAAAATCTCTGTCAACAGGGGACCAGGGAGCATTCACCTCTGCCTTGAAGTTTTTTGCTCCAATTATCAACAGTCACAGTTGATTTTATTTTTCACTTAACTTAATAGGAGGGCACTTCAAAATGTCTGTGGAAAATGAATTGAAAGATAACTATAGTTTGGTGCAAAAATGTTTTTGAAATTTGAGCATATAAGGGGTTTCCAAAGAGTTCATAGAAAACGTGTATTATGAAAGAGCTATCCTGGATTTCAAATCCTTTTTACAGTAAATAACTTTCAATCCTGTTTTTAGTGGGCTTTCAGAAAACATTCTGATAATGTTTTGGATTTTTGACAATCCCTTTTGTAAAATTTATTTATTGTTTAATTGGAGGAAGAGAGCAAGAGAGAGAGAGAGAGAGAGAGAGAGAGAGAGAGACTGATCTTCCTTCTAGGAGTTTACTCCCCAGATGTCCATCACAGCCACCTCCGGGCCAGACCAAAGTGAGGCACTGGCAACTCCATCTGGTCTCCCACATGGGTGGCAAAGAACCAAGTACTTGAACCACCACCTGTTACCCCATTAGCAGGAATAGAAGATTGGAAAGGGAGGTGGACTTGAGCCCAGGTACTCCAATATGGGATATAGACAACTCAAGTGGTGACTTAATCTGCTGCACCACCTTGCCCACCCCTTTGTGAAGTTTTTCAAGTACCCTTTTATACATATCTACTCAGAAATAGCCAACGAACTGTTAAGTCCAGGAATAAACTGTGTGCATTTAGTGGCCCCCAGTGAATTACCTGGTGTTCCGGAAATGATGCTAAGGAAAAGTAGACAATGGGCATTGTGTCCATTTTACAGAGGAAGAAAGTAAAGTAGCACCAGCTTACTCCTTAAGTATGCTTCCTTACATTGTGCTAGGATTGAACTTAATATCACATCAGAAGACATTTTATGTACACATCATTCAGCAAATTAGAAGTCTAAAATAGGGGTAACAAAATCAAACACACCGAGCTGATAGGTGTTTTCCATCTGGACTGTAAGGCGGGAAACATCATCACGCTGGCTAGGTTCATCCATATAGGATACGGTACTCATAGAGCTGAAAACAACGGAGAAAACAAATTGTAATCGTTATTCTAACAGCAGCAAAACATAGCATTGTTTTCGGCTAAAATGCTACAAAGGTAAAGTTTTCGCTAAAAATTTCAAGTTACTCCTACATAAATCTCACTGACATATTTAAAGTTTAAAATACTAAAACATTATTTGGAGCACGTCTCAACTGGTAGTTGATGCATAGCACAATTACACGGTCCATCTGATTATCCAGATGGTGTTTCTGGGTTCATCTGTGCTACGAGGTGACTCAGTCCATGTTTCAAAACCATTGCTGCTGGTGTCTGCCACAGAGCAAACTCACCAAAGTACACAAAGCTCAACAAGGGGACTTGTGAGTATGTGAAGAAGTTAAACATGTTAACTCTGTTGGAGCCGGTGCCGTGGTGCAGTAGGTTAATCCTCTGCCTGAAGTGCCGGCATCCCATATGGGTGCCAGTTCTAGTCCTGGCTGCTCCTCTTCCAGTCCAGCTCTCTGCTATGGCCTGGGAGAGCAGTAGAAGATGGTCCAAGTGCTTGGGCCACTGAACCCATGTGGGAGACCTGGAAGAAGCTCCTGGCTTCAGATAGACACAGCTCCGGCCATTGCGGTCAACTGGGGAGTGAACCAGCAGATGAAGACCTTTCTCTCTGTCTCTACCTCTCACTGTCTGTGACTCTACCTCTCAAATAAATAAATAAAATCTTAAAAAAAGAAACAATTCTGTAACTACCTGGGGTATTAGATGCACCTCACAAAGCCCTTCCCCTGTGAAAAAGAAAAATGAGAAACTCTTCTACCTGATGAAAGAAACCACAATTCACTCAAACTTCATAAACCAATAAGCATCAATCACCCTTTTCAACAATAAGAAAGGATTTGGGCTGGTTACCAAGGCAATATGAACTTATCCAGGTGCTAACTAGGAGACCCCAGCAAAAAGAAGCCCCTAACGTCTCTCAAGCACCACTTAATTCAACTTGGTTCAGAGGAACTCCAATTGTCACTAATGGCAGTCTCAGAACACACTACCCTCAATTTTCTCCACCTGTGAAAATGGACGCTAAGACAGATGCCATTTCAAAGGAGAGGATATAATTGTGTGTGTGTGTGTGTGTGTGTGTGTGTTCAGAGTGACCACTTTTCTAAGCAGGCTTTGTTTTGGCTTTAATTAAACAAGAAAGAGGCATTTGTTCTTAATCTTTTGGGATTTTTTTTTCTCTGCAAGGAATTTAAAATGCTTAGTCCTCAGCTCTTCAGGATGGTAAATTTCTTGCAAATTCTTATTTAAAGAAAATCATGGATAATCTATTTTGATTAGGCCTTTTTGCTTTACAACTTTAATATAATAGAAATAGCATGAGAAATTGAGGTTTACAGTGCATGAAAGTGATGTGAGAAATTGTGGCTGCTTTCTTTTTCATGGTGGATTTCTAGATTAATGATTTAGTCTTCATTCTTACAGCACCTGCTTTCCTGCTGCCCTTTGAAGTAGCAACCAATTCGTTTGGCCGCAATGGTTGCAGGTGTTGTGGGCAGCACCAAAGATGATAACCCCGGCTTAAACAACCCCATGTTGCACAAACTCCCTGATTTTAAGATAAGCTAGCCTGCTGCAGTATTATATATGCTGCTTTTAACTTTGCAAAACATTTCCCAGCGTTTGTCTCATTTTACCTTCACAACGGCCCTTAAGTAAGGAAAGGAGTCATTATTCTACTCATTTTAGAGAAAAGGGAACGAGGCAATGGCTCAATGTCAGACACATGGGAAGGCAGACACAGTTTCCAAAATCCCATATACCTCCTGGTGGCAGAGTCCTACATATTGTTATACTGACAGAATTATCAGAAACAATCATCTACCACAATTAAAACTTTCCTGTGCAAATATTAGAAGGTATTGACAAAAACCCTTTTTGTTTTCTGCTCAGTGTTATATTAAAATTAATGTAAAGAGAAAGAGTTGGTAAAACATCAAATTAGCTGTAGTTCAAATCTAAGACATAAAGGACTTTCAGAAATAGCCCTCACTATTACATTGTTCAGGGTTAGTGAAGATTAATAATCAATGCACTTTATGGTGTTGCGACCATGAAATTGGTAAGTATCATCAGGGTAGTTTGGCTGAAGATTGGCATGCAAATAGCAAGTTTTGTAGATTGATTTTGTTACTGAAGATGGCTTCATTCCATGCCTTTTTATTTTCACAGTAATCATAAGAAGTGTATGCGCATTACAGAAAACTCAAAACATAAAAAAAAATAAAACTACACAATAATTGTAACTCCAGTAGTTATCTAACTACTACTAAGAGTAAACAAAATCTTTTCAGATTTGTGGACATAGGATCATATTACAGATGGTCTTACTTCCACTCAAATGTATTGTGGATAACTTTCCATGTCAATAAATAATAATCTATGTTTTATTTTTTTTATTGACACACTTGTTTATGGCGTCAGTAATCTCCCTAGGCTCTTGTCATGAGCTGCCAAGGCTATGGAAGCCTTTTGAGTTCACCAACTTCAATCTTATTTAGACAAGGTCATAGTCAAAGTGGAAGTTCACTCCTCCCTTCATAGAAAGGTACCTCCTTCTTTGATAGCCCGTTCTTTCTACTGGGATCTCACTCACAGAGATTTTCATTTAGGTTTTTTTTTTTTTGTTTTTTTTTTTTTGGCTAGCGTGTCTTGGCTTTCCATGCCTGAAATACTCTCATGGGCTTTTCAGCTTTTCAGCCAGATCCGAATGCCTTAAGGGCTGATTCTGAGGCCAGAGTACTGTTTAGGACATCTGCCATTTTATGAGTCTGCTGTGTATCCTGCTTCCCACGTTGGATCATTCTCTCCCTTTTTTATTCTATCAGTTAGTATTAGCAGACACCAGTCTTGTTTATGTGATCTCTTTGACTCTTAGACCTATCAGTATGATCAATTGTGGACTGAAATTGACAAATTTGACTAGTGAGATGGCATTGGTACATGCAACCTTGATGGGATTATATTGGAATCGCCTGGCACATTTCTAACTCCACCATTTGGGGCAAGTCCAATTGAGCATGTTCCAAATTGTACATCTCCTCCTTCTCTGATTCCCACTCTTATATTTAACAGAGATGACTTTTCAGTTAAATTTATGTTTTATTTTAAATATTAAGATAGCACTTAATATATAGTCTGTATTTTATTTAATCATTTATTCTCCAGGCTATTTAGATTACTTCTAATATCCCACTATTATAGGGAAAATTGTGTTGAACATTGTGTAAGGACTGTCATTTGCTTTTTAATGTTGCCCTCTCCTTTTCCCTGGGTAACAACAGAACCCTACACCTGTAAGATTATGTGGTCTACACCGAATATACCTTCTCAGATTCTTTAAAGGCCTTTGTGACCATGTGGCACATGCGAGGGATTGGAAAAGGGGAGACAGAGAAAAGAGAAAAATAAGCTGAACAAAAAAAATAAAAGCTTTTTTATTTCTTGAGAAAATGCAAAATGAACAGAAAAAATACTGAAACTCTTGAAATATGAGCAAGTAGCATTAAACCAGAATATAAGTTTGGTAAAGTTGTAGAAATGAAAGAGAACCTATAATTCAAAATTGGGAATTATCAGTATCAGTTCAGAAAATGAGGGTACTTCAAAAAGTCCACGCACAATGGAATTAAAGGAAAACTTCAAGGGCGGGTGTTAGTGCAGTGCTGAAGATGCCACTTGTGTCGCCCATATTGGAGCCCCCGGTTTTGAGTCCTGGCTCCATTTGTGCTCCAACTTCCTGCTAATGTGCACCCTAGGGGACTGGAGGCAAGGGCTCAAATACTGCCACCCACATGGGAGATCTGGAGTCAGTTCTAGGCTCCTGGCTGCAGGCTTCCAGGGAGCGGATCAGAGTATAGAAGCTGTCTCTCTGCATCCCCCCATAAATAAATACAAGATAAATTCATTTTGATGCAAACAATAAAATCCATGCATAGATGTTTCATAACATGTATTTCCATGGACTTTTTGAAGACCCCCCTCTTAATAGCTTAGAAGAACTTGGACATTTTAACTATTGATAAACAGCTTCACTCAAGCTCTTGGAATCATTAAAGATAAACATATGAGATGCTCAAAAAGTAACGTTATCATTTTAATTACCAGTGCTATATAGACACAGCCAATACGTTTATTGGGTATGTCACATTACAAGTGGAGGAATTTCATTGTCTAAGACCATGCTTTCCACAGTTTACAATGACAATATCTCTAGATACATGAGCTCATTGCAAAGGGAATGCTACAGTTACCTTTATTTTTCAAATATGAAAACTGTTCTTGCTGTCTAGGGGTTTTATTAGCATGTGTTGGCATTGATAGAAGAAAAAAATTTCAATTAAAAAATGTATCCAAGACAGTTATAAAATTTTAGAAAGGAAGACAGGGTAAAAGGAATGGAGTAGAGAAGCTGGTGCTGTCAGGCAGTGGGTTACGCTGGGCTTGGCATGCTGGCATCCTACCTCAGAGTCCTGGCTGCTCGGCTTCTGTTCCAACATTCCTGCTAACGTGCTTGCGAAAGCACAGGATTCTGGCTCAATTGCTTGGGCCCTTGCTACCCCTGTGAGAGGCTCAGAGAGTCTGGCTCCTGGTGTCAGCCCGGCTATCATAGTCATTTGGGCAGTGAAGCAGAAGATAGAAGATTCTCTCTCCCTCTCTCTCTCTCTCTCTGTCCTTTCGTCTCTCTCATTTTCTCTGACATGCTAACTTTTAAATCAATCAATCTTTTTTTTTAATGGTAATGCAGTGCACCTGAAAGTCTGGCATAAACTACTGGTGAAAACACAAGAAAACCAGAAAAATCCATTAATATTATTCCATGAAAAGGTGTAACAATTTGTAAGCAGACGCGAAAGTGAGTTAATCCTTGGAACTGTACGTGCTATTGCAGAGGACAGAGTTAGAATTAGCCTGCATGCAGAAATAGCTGCAGGGAACCGACAGAAAATAATCAAAGTAACTC